ATTTTATCAAACTGAAAAATGTTTGGGTTAATAGTTTATTTTATAACTTTAAATACAGAAATAGAAAATTATTAAGAAATAGTAATTATAAAAAATTATTATCAAATTTATATCCTAATGGAAAAACTAATAAACAACTGAATATATGGGTTATTGGTTTTATAACTTGTCAAGTGTAATCATGTGTCTAAACTTATATTTTAACTTACAATTCAGTTACATGTGGTTGTAAGTTATGCCACAATTATATGTTAACAATTATCTTGCGACTGATTTTCTGACAATATAGCGATTTCGATATTTTTGTCAACAAAATGATAATTAATAAATTAAAGAAGAAGGATCCATCTATGGAGAATTTTGTTTTTCTACAACGGAAACACCATATTTTTAAGTTTGCGGTAAGAAGTTCTCGGAATCTTTTGAATCAATGATTTAATCGATTTGATGCAAAACCATCTTTTACCACGTACAACTGAATGCTTTGAAGCGGTCCATATATAAAAATACAGAAAAATTTGATTTTTTTTAGTAATATACATAAATTGAGGTCCATATTTATTAAAAATAATATATTATTCAATAATATTTTAACTATATATATAAATTAGGGTCTATATTTATTGAAAATAATATTTTATATTTTTATTATATAAAAAAATTGAACATGATCTACCAAAAATTTGAGACGGCCTTTATTTGATGTAATTGTTGATAGTGAGCAATCTCCTATAGACATATTGAGATCTCTTTGATCGGATATATATATAGTGGATGGTTGATGGATCTGATCCCTCCTCTAAGACGTAGTCGTCGGAAAGTGAACTCAAGGTTAACAAACTGTCATGTGTTCTCTTACTTTTCAATACAGAACTTACAATACTTCGATATAAAGCTTATTCAATAACTTTTTTTTTTGTTAAAGGAGCTTATTCAATAACTATGAGCTACAAATACTTCTTCCACCAGCACGGAAAAGTATATAGTAAACATCGCTTAGAAAAAGTAAAGTAAACAATCAGGAAACTGAGCATCTCAAATTCATCTGTTTTTTAGTATTGTTTTGATAAAAAATGATTTTAGTTGAGGTGGAATATTACTTAAGAAATTTTGTAGATGTTGTGATCACAAACTGTATGAAATGAAACGATTATTTCTCTTTTCTTTACATTTTTCTCTGTCTTCTCTCATATCATATATGAAATATTTTCAATTGATACGACAAGGTAAATATATTATATAGTA